CGGCCTGCCTCTGCGCGCCTCGAATACGTGCGTTTCCAATGCGCCGGACAATCAGGCCACCTGGGAAAGCTCGAACTCGCTGTTCGCCGCGATCACGTCGGGCGTGAACGTCGTCTACCATGCCGCCGGATGGCTCGAAGGCGGGCTGTGTGCATCCTATGAGAAGTTCATCATGGATTGCGAACAGTTGCAGCAGCTCATCGCCTATATGAAACCGGTGCGGTGGGATGCCGACGAGATCGCGCTCGACGCCATCGCCGAGGTCGGCCAGGGCGGGCATTTCTTCGGCATCCAGCACACACAGGACCGGTATGAGAGCGCGTTTTATGCGCCCTTCCTGTCGGACTGGAGCAATTTCGAGAACTGGCGCGACCGCGGGTCTGTCCAGACGGCCGAGCGGGCCAACAAGGTCTGGAAGAGCATCCTGGCGGAGTTCGAACCGCCGCCGATGGACCAGGCGATCCGCGAGGAGCTGGAAGATTTCGTCGCCCGGCGCAAGCAGGAAGGCGGCGCGCCGACGGATTTCTGAACAGACGTCGGCCAACGCATCGAGGGGAGCAAAATGAAAACATCCACGCGTGTCGTCGTCATCGGGGGCGGGGTCGTCGGCTGCTCGGTGCTCTATCATCTGGCCAAGGCCGGCTGGACCGACATCATGCTGATCGAGCGCTCCGAGCTGACGTCGGGCTCGTCCTGGCATGCGGCCGGCGGGTTCCACACGCTCAATGGCGATCCGAACGTCGCCAAGCTGCAGGCCTATACGGTCGGGCTTTATGACGAACTCGAAAAGGTCTCCGGCCAGTCCTGCGGGCTGCATCTGACTGGCGGTGTGATGCTCGCCGAAAGCCCCGAGCGGATGGATTTCCTGCGCACGCTGCACGCCAAGGGCCGGCATCTGGGCATGCAGACCGAACTGATCACGCCGTCCGAAGCGAAAGCCATGTTCCCGCTGATGGACGAAAGCCAGTTCGTCGGCGCGCTGTGGGATCCGGTCGAGGGCCATCTCGACCCGTCCGGCACGACGCACGCCTATGCCAAGGCGGCGCGGACGCTTGGGGCCGAGATCGTGCTGCGCAACCCGGTCAAGGAACTGACGCAGGATACGGACGGCACATGGAACGTGACCACCGAGCAAGGCACGGTCCGCGCCGAACATGTGGTCAATGCGGGCGGGCTCTGGGCGCGCGAAGTGGGCCGGATGGTGGGTCTCGAACTGCCGCTTCTGGCGATGGAGCACATGTACCTTCTGACCGAGGACATGCCCGAGGTGATCGCGTTCAACGAGGAGTTCGGGCGTGAACTGATCCATGCCGTCGATTTCCGGGGCGAGATCTACACCCGCCAGGAACGCAAGGGGATGCTGCTGGGCACCTATGAGCAGGCCTGCGTGCCGTGGTCGCCGGTCAACACGCCATGGGATTTCGGCCACGAACTGCTGCAACCCGACCTCGACCGGCTGGCACCGTCGCTCGAGATCGGGTTCAAGCATTTCCCGCCGTTCGAAAATGCCGGCATCAAGCAGATCATCAACGGCCCCTTCACCTTTGCGCCCGACGGCAACCCGCTGGTCGGCCCGGTGCGCGGGCTCACCAATTTCTGGTCGGCCTGCGCCGTGATGGCCGGGTTTTCTCAAGGTGGCGGCGTCGGGCTGACGCTCGCCAACTGGATGGTGGAAGGCGATCCGGGTGCCGATGTGTGGGGCATGGATGTGGCGCGCTACGGCGAATGGGCGACGCTGCGCTACACGAACGCGAAAGTGCGCGAAAACTATTCGCGCCGCTTCCGCATCCGCTATCCGAACGAGGAACTGCCCGCCGCGCGGCCCCATCAGACGACGCCGATCCACGACATCCAGGTCGATGAAAACAACGCGGTAATGGGTGACAGTTGGGCGCTGGAAACACCGCTGTGGTATGCGCCCTCGGCCGAGGATGCGCATGATGTGGTCAGCTTCCACCGGTCCAACGATTTCGCGCACGTCGCCGCCGAGGTGAAAAACGTCCGCGAAAATGTCGGGATCACCGAAATCTCCAACTTCGCCAAGTATGAGGTTTCTGGCGATGGAGCGGAGGCCTGGCTGTCTCACCTGATGACCAACACCATGCCGAAGCTCGGCCGCATGGTACTGACGCCGATGCTCAACGAATTCGGCAAGCTGATCGGCGACTTCACCATAGCGAAGCTTGGCGAAAACCGTTTCATGATCTGGGGCTCTTCGGCCGCGCAGATCTACCACATGCGCTGGTTCGAACGACATCTTCCCGACGACGGTTCCGTCGCGGTCAAGCGGTTCGGCATGAACTTGAACGGGCTGTCGATTGCCGGCCCGAACAGCCGCAAGGTGCTGGAAAAGCTGACCGATCAGGATGTCTCCAACGAAGCCTTCCGCTTCATGGACAGCCGGCAGATGGACGTTCAGGGCTCACCCTGCATCGTCAGCCGCATCTCCTATACCGGCGATCTGGGCTACGAGATCTGGTGCGAGCCGGCCTATACGCGCAAGCTCTATCGCGACATCAAGGAGGCCGGCGCCGAATTCGGCATCAGGGATTTCGGCATGCGTGCGCTTTTGTCGATGCGGCTCGAAAAGAACTTCCCGACATGGGGTCACGAGCTTCGCCCCATTTACGGGCCGTTCGAAGGGTCGATGGACCGGTTCGTCAAATTGTCCAAGAACGACTTCATCGGCCGCGAGGCGGCGGCAAAGGAAAAGGCCGACGGGCCCAAACTGCGCCGTGTCTCGTTCATGATCGATGCCGACACCGCCGACGTGATGCATGACGAGCCGGTCTGGGCAAAGGTGGGCAACACCGATTACGGCACCGTCGGCGCGCCCGAAAAGGTTGGCCCGCGCCGATTTACCGATGACGGCACCGAACTCGACCCGCCCGGCATGGGAACGATCACCGACGGCGAATGGCGCGTTGTCGGCTGGGTGACCTCGGGCGGTTATGCCCACGGTGTCGAAAAGTCGATGGCGCAGGGCTATGTGCCCGCCGCGCTCGCCGGGCATGGCGACGAAGGCATGTTCGAGATCGAGGTGCTGGGCGTGCGCCGCCCGGCGGTCATAGCGGTCCAACCGCCCTTCGACCCCGAAGGCAAGCGGATGCGCGGTATCGCCTGATCGCCGTGTCGCTCAGCAAGCCGTCGCGGCGCCCGACCGTTCGAGCACCCGGTCGCCTTCGGCAATGCGCCCGATGGCCTGTGCGCATTCGTCGACGAGCATCGTCGACACCGGCGCGCCCTCGCCGACGATCCGGCCGATCTCCGCAAACAGCCGTTCAAAGCGGCGCCCGCGGGCCAGCCGACTGAGCTGCACGCCGTTGGCGATGCGCAACTTGTCGGCGTTCGGGCACGCAAAGTCATCGAGAAAGCCGATCCATTGGGCCGGCTGGTCGCCGGGCGATAGATCGAAGAAGGCGGCATCGACCACACCCGGCGCGGGTTCGGCGCGGTCGGCAGCGGTTCGCCAGTGCCGCGTCAGGCACAGCATCATCGCGTAGACATGGGTCGTATGGTAGGAATGAAAGAAGTGCTCGGCGGCCCGCCGGTCGCTGTCGAGCAGGTTGGACAGGCGCTCCACGTCATAGCTGCGCGAGGGAAGGAAGCCCGTTCGGCCGAAGACCTCGACCAGCAGATGCCGGCAGAAGCGAACGGTATTGCCCGGCGTGTCGGTGATCATGGCCGCGCAGGCGACAAACTCCGCCATCAGGTCCAGATCGAATTCCCAAAGGCAATCGTAGAGCGCGATTTCGATGCGCTCCAGAAGCCGGTCACGACAAATCTCGCCGGCAAGCGCTTGGGCGCCGAAGTCGGTCGCATACATGATCTCATGCGTGAAGGCGTAGCGGTCGGCGACGTTCATGTAGAGCGGGCTGATCGCCGAGGTGGCGAGCCCGGCGGCCAGACAGGTCTTCATGGGCGTTTTGGCCGGCCGCGCACGGTGGTGCAGGGCGATCAGCCAGTGATCGTCCATCAGCCGGAATGGCAGCTTGTTGGCGGGCACGAAACTCGGATCGGAAACGGAAAGCGCGAACACGGCATCGAACCGCGTGTCGAGATGGCCCATGCGCGTGAGCAGGACGTGTCCGATCCCGAAGGATGTGCACAGGCGCGGATTGGCGCGCAACATGAACAGATGACGTTCCGACCGCACGATCTTTGCGGCCTCGGCGACCAGATCGGCGAATGCAGCGCCCTTTGCAAGCTGCGGCATGTACCGGTCGACCACATAGAGCAGCAGAACCGTCTCGGCGGCGATCTTGTCGAGCGGATGGATGATCTGCTGCGACCCATCATCGTCCGGCAGAAGGTCGGGCCGCGCCGCGACAAGGCGGAGTGGCGCAACCGTGGCGGCAAGCACCGCGCCGACCATCTCGTGCGGTGCGGAGCCGGCTGCCATGCGCGCCGTTGCTGTCGCGCCGGGACGCGCAGGCGCTTTGCCCGCCCCGGTCGCAATGGTGGACATCGCCGTCGCGCCGTCGATCAGCGATTGACCGGCGTATCGATCGCGTCGCGCGCGATCAGTTTCGTCTTGCCCGAAGTCACCAGGACATATTCCGACCAGGCAATGACGTTGTCCTGGAGCGGACCCGACGGATCGATCACCCCGATGCCTTGCGGCTCCAACAAGTCGCGGATCGGCATGTCCAGATTGATCGCCTTCTTGTTGTGAAGTTCTGTGGCAAGCTTTTGCACATCTGTAATGGTCGGCATGACTTTCTCCAATACTTAGCAATAAACAATCATTACTTTATCATTTTGAACGTGAATCATCAAATCATATCTAGACTCAACGAGTCTTATTGAATCACAAGTAGAATCCCATTCTGATACGATCTTTTATTTCAAGGTGAAATGTTCCGTGACAGACGGCGCATCGCCCTTGCAGGGCGACACGCACGCCGGTCGCCACCGGCAACCGGAGCAAAGAGCACCGGAGACTATCGGGTGTTCAATGGGCGACGTCGTCGGGCCCGACCGGACATCGAGATGTCGCGTCAGGCGCTCTTTTTCATGTCGGGGTGCATCGTCGCGCCCAATATGTGTTCCGAACGGCCGATCACCTGCGCCGAATGGCCGACGATCAGCGGATCGGGACCGCGCACGATCCGGCGGTCCTTCTTGGGATAAGGCAGGCTCGACAGGAAATGCTGCATCGTGTTGACGCGCGCCCGCTTCTTGTCGTTCGACTTGACCACCGTCCACGGCGCGTCGGCCGTGTCGGTGTAGAAGAACATCGCTTCCTTGGCTTCGGTGTAGTCATCCCACTTGTCCAGCGAAGCCTTGTCGATCGGCGACAGTTTCCACTGCTTGAGCGGGTCCTTGCCGCGCGACTGGAAGCGGCGCAGCTGTTCTTCGCGCGTGACCGAAAACCAGAACTTGAACAGGCGAATGCCCGAGCGCACCAGCATGCGCTCGAAGTCCGGCGTCTGCCGCATGAATTCGAGATAGTCGTTGGGCGAGCAGAAGCCCATGACGCGCTCGACACCGGCGCGATTGTACCAGGACCGGTCGAACAGGACGATCTCGCCACCCGCAGGCAAATGTTCGACATAGCGCTGGAAATACCATTGCGTGCTTTCGCGTTCGGACGGTTTTTCCAATGCCACCACGCGCGCGCCGCGCGGGTTCAGATGCTCCATGAAGCGCTTGATCGTGCCGCCCTTGCCGGCCGCATCGCGGCCCTCGAACAGGATCACGACCTTCTGGCCGGTGTCCTTGACCCATTCCTGGACCTTGAGCAGTTCCACCTGCAGTTCGGCCTTGTGCTTCTCGTAGGCCGAGCGCCGCATCTTGGTGCGATAGGGGTATTCGCCGCTTTCGAATGCATGCGCGATCGCCTGGGGATCGTTGCGCATTTCGGCAATGGTGGCGGGCCGGCCGGCGTCCAGGCTGGCGTCGCCGGCAATCGTGTCCTGTTCAATCATTTGCGTATCCTGTTCAAAAGCGGAAAGATCAACTGGCAATATCGCCTCATCTCACGCCTTTTTGTGATGCGCCGCAATGCGACTTGCGCCATATGACGAAAGGTCATTGCGAAGCGGCGTCACACCAGTGACATACGAGTCTGATTCTGCGAGGCATCTGAAACCGGTGGTACCGACCATGAACGAGCCTCGACGGTTCCGGACACTGTTCTTGTCCGACATTCATCTGGGAACGCGTGGTTGCCAGGCAGAAATGCTGATCGACTTTCTGCGCGAACACGATGCGGACCGCATCTATCTGGTCGGCGACATTTTCGACGGCTGGCGCCTCAAGAAGGGCTGGTACTGGCCGCAATCGCACAATGATGCCGTGCAGAAGCTGCTGCGCAAGGCGCGCAAGGGCACCGAGATCATCTACATTCCCGGAAATCATGACGAGGTCATGCGCTCCTATCTGGGCTCTCATTTCGGCGGAATCGAAGTGCGCGACCGGGACGTCTATGAAGCTGCGGACGGAACGCGCTATCTGGTCATCCATGGCGACCAGTTCGACATGGTTGTCGTGCATGCCAAATGGCTCGCTCATGTTGGCGACGGGGCCTACACGCTCGCGCTGTGGCTCAATGGCTGGATGAACTGGCTCAAGCGGCTTTGGGGCGGCCAGTACTGGTCGCTGTCCAAATGGCTCAAGCTGAAGGTCAAGCAGGCCGTCAACTTCATCGGCGCATTCGAGGAGACGCTTTCGGGGGAGGCCCGGCGCGCCGGCGTTCAAGGCGTTATCTGCGGCCATATACACCACGCAACGATCAAGCACGACAATGGCATTCGCTACATCAATACGGGCGACTGGGTGGAAAGCTGCACGGCGATCGCCGAGACCGATCAGGGCGAGATGGTGCTGATCGACTGGGCCGCCATCAGCCGCTCGCGGCACAAGGGGCGGGTCGTCGATCTGGGCGCCGCCAAGAAAAGCAGAAAGGCCGCCGGCGCCAAGACGAAAGCCGCCTGATCCTTGGCAGATGCGGCATTTCCTCTAAAACGACTCTCATCCGAACACTGACAGGGCCATGACCATGGGTTCGCCTTCCGCCACGCCGACGGTCCGCACGCAGCTTGGCGGCGCCGTGCAACAGAACAGCGCGTTTTCCGTAACGGGTGTTCTGGAGCGTGCTTTCGCTCAGACCTTCACCGGGCTCGTCTACCCGCAAATCTGGGAAGACCCGGTCGTCGACATGGATGCGCTCGAGATCGGACCGGACGATGCGATCGTCGCGATTGCATCGGGCGGCTGCAATGTGATGAGCTATCTGACGGCCAACCCGGCTTCGGTCGAAGCGGTCGACCTGTCGCCGGCCCACGTCGCGCTCAATCGGCTGAAATATGCGGCGCCAAGGCTTCTGCCCGACCATGCAGCGTTCTTTCAATTGTTTGGCCGTGCCGAGGTGGCGGGCAATGCAGCGCTGTTCGACGATTATCTCGCGCCGCATCTCGATGTGGAGACCGTCGATCACTGGAACGGCCGCAAGGGTATTGTCGGGCGCCGGATCGAGATGTTCGAACAGGGTTTCTACCGGTTCGGCGCGCTCGGCCTGTTCATCGGATGGGCGCACAGGATCGCACGGCTGAAGGGTATCGATTTCTCCCGGTTCATGGCGTGCCGCGACATCGAAGAGCAGACGCGCTTCTTCGAAGACAAGGTCAAGCCGGCGATCGACAGCCGCTTCATCAAATGGGTGACGCGCACCCGGGCATCCTTGTTCGGCCTCGGCATCCCGCCGCAGCAATATGAGGCGCTGGCGGGCGCCGCCGACGGTGACATGCATGCGGTTCTCACCGAGCGGACGCGAACGCTGATGTGCGGTTTTCCGCTGTCGGAGAACTATTTTGCCTGGGCCGCCTTCAATCGCGGCTATGACCCGTCCGGCGAAGGCCCGCTGCCGCCCTATCTGCAGCGGGACAATTTCGAGACGGTGCGCGCCAACGCGCACAAGGCATCGATCCGTAACCGGACGCTGACCGATTTCCTGCGCAGCCAACCCGGTGCGTCGAAGGACTGCTATGTGCTGCTTGACGCGCAGGACTGGATGACCGACACGCAACTGAACGATCTTTGGGCTCAGATCACGCGCACTGCGCGCGCCGGCGCTCGCGTCATCTTCCGCACCGCCGGTGTCGAGACAATCCTGCCCGGCCGGGTGTCGGACAGCGTGCTCGGCCGGTGGCGCTATCATGAAGAGCGTTCCCGCAAGCTGCACGACCGGGATCGCTCGGCGATCTATGGCGGCTTTCACCTCTATACGCTGGAAGGTTGACCATGGCCGATGCGGCAGACACCCATTCGGGGCTGATGGATGCGATTTACCGTAACCAGCGGCACATTTACGATATGACGCGCAAATACTATCTGCTCGGCCGCGACCGCATGATCGAGGAACTCGATGTTCCGCCCGGCGGCACGGTGCTCGAAGTCGCGTGCGGCACCGGCCGCAATCTCGTCCACGCCGCACGCCGCTATCCCGACGCCCGGTTTCATGGCTTCGACATCTCGTCCGAGATGCTCAAATCGGCGCAATCGACGGTGTCGAGGAAAGGCCTTGACGACCGGATCGCGCTCGCGCGCGGCGACGCCGCCGATTTCGATCCCGAAGCCCTGTTCGGCATCGCCCGGTTCGATCGCGTCTTCATCTCCTACTCGGTGTCGATGATCCCGGCATGGAAGGAAGCGATCGCCCACGCCGCCACGGTTCTCGAGCCGGGCGGAGAACTGCATGTGGTCGACTTCGGCGAACAGACCGGCCTGCCCGGCTGGTTCCGAACCGCGCTCCGCGCATGGCTGGCGAAGTTTCACGTCGCGCCGCGCGGCGATCTCGAGCCGGTCATGAAAGACGTGGCCGACAGCCATGGCGGCCAACTCGCCTTCACATCGCTCTATCGCGATTACGCCCGATATGGTCGCATGACGATGTCGGCTGCGCCTGCGTGAGCGCGCGGGCCGATTGGCGATTGCATTGATATAAAGACTTCCTTATGTGGTTATGCGATCGACACCATTAGGACCACGCGCATGACTGCCGACAATCCGCTTGCCGCCCTGATCGCCGAAAAGGGCGTGCTGCTCGCCGACGGCGCGACGGGCACGAACCTGTTCGCCATGGGTCTTGAGTCGGGCGATGCTCCGGAACTGTGGAACACCGACGCCCCCGAAAAGATCACGGCGCTGCATCAGGGGTTCGTCGATGCGGGCTCGGACATCATCCTGACCAACTCGTTCGGCGGCACGCGGCACCGGCTGAAGCTGCATCACGCGCAGGACCGCGTGTTCGAACTCAACAAGGCCGCCGCCGAGATCGCCTGCAAGGTCGCCGCTTCGGCACCGCGCCGGGTGCTGGTCGCCGGTTCGGTCGGGCCGACCGGAGAACTGCTGGTACCGCTTGGCGCGCTGACCTTCGATGACGCCGTCGCTGCGTTTCGCGAGCAGATCGCGGGGCTGAAGGCCGGCGGCGCCGAAGTCATCTGGATCGAGACCATGTCGGCGCCCGAGGAGATGCGCGCCGCCGCCGAAGCGGCCGTCGCCGAAGACATGCCCTACACCTGCACCGTCTCGTTCGACACGGCGGGCAAATCGATGATGGGCCTTCATCCGAAGAATGTCGCCCATGTGTTCGATGCGGTGTCGGACAAGCCGGCGGCCGTCGGTGCCAATTGCGGCGTCGGCGCGTCGGACATTCTGTCGTCACTGCTCGACATGCGCGCCGGCGCGCCCGATGCGACCATCATCGTCAAGGGCAATTGCGGCATCCCCGAATTTCAGGGCGAGAACATCGTCTATTCGGGGACGCCGGACCTGATGGCGGACTATGTGCGGCTGGCGATCGATGGCGGCGCGCAGGTGATCGGCGGCTGCTGCGGCACCTCGTTCGAGCATCTCAAGGCAATGCGCCAGGCGCTCGACACGCACCAGAAGGCCGAACCGCCGACGCTGGAAAAGATCACGGAACGCATCGGCCCGCTGGTCAACAGCCCCGCCGCCGACGGCGATGCGGCACCCAAGCGCGAACGGCGCAGCCGGCGCCGGGGCTGAACGCTAAACGCCCGAGCCGATCGTCTCCACCTCCTGGTCGGGGCCTCCTCCGTGAAGGTCGAGCCATTCGCGGTCGATATCCGGCAGGTCCTTGTCGTCGATCGCTGCCTCGAAGGACTGCAGGCGTTTGTAGATCGACAGCAGTTCGACGATCGTCGTCCATGAGTTGACCAGATACTGAAACGAGTTCGAGACCTGATTGAAGGCAGTCAGGATCTGCTGCAGCACACCGAACGTGAAGCCCGTGGCCGCTCCGCCGATGATGGTCGGAATCAGCAGGATGTAGACGAAAATGTTGTCGGCCTGCAGGTACATGAACCGGAAAATGTTGAAATACATATATTCCAGGTACAGCCGGAAATAATTGCGGCGCACGTCGCCGAACAGTTCGCGCACGGTCGGCGGCTGGGCGCGTTCCTCGCGGTCCTCGCCATAGACGAGTTCCTTGCGATAGGCCGCCTCGACACGCTGGTTCTTGAACTCAAGCCCCGGCAGCCGGATGCCCGCCAGCGCCAGAACGCCGGTCCCGAGCACGGACCAGACGATGGCAGCCGTGAAAAGCGGAGCGGGAATGGCGCCGACGATGGGCAGTTCTGAGACGAACTCGGAGAGGCCCCAGAGCACCGGCAGGAAGGCGATCAGCGTCATCACCGCGTCAACCGCGGACACGCCGAGGCCCTCCATGATGCCGGCGAAGCGCATCGTGTCCTCCTGAACACGCTGGGACGCGCCCTCAATGTGCCGCACCTGCTTCCAGCGGGCCATGTAGTAGTCGTTCATCGCGGTGCGCCAGCGGAAGATCCAGTGGCTGACGAAGAAACGGAACACGACGATGATGGCTATGAACAAAAAGGCAAGCTGCGCAAAAACCACGATCAGCTCGAACAGATCGGCCTGTGTGATCGTGGACCCCTCGGTCAACGCGTCCTGAACGCCGTCGAAGAACGGACGGCGCCAATTGTTGATGGCGACCGATACCTGCACGTTGAAATAGGTGACGAACAGGATCAGCGCCGAGCCGAGAATCGACCAGAGCTCCCAGGGGTGCTTGGCGCGGCGATGCCAGAAGGCAAAAAAGGCCGCAACAAAGATGATGTAGTAGACGTAGAACCAGAGGAACTCGGGGGTGGTGAAGTGACCAAGGCCGATGACCGGTTCCGCTTCCGGGTTCGGCGTCCCCAAACCGATCAGGGCGCCCCACTGGCTGCCGCCCGCATACCAGATGATCATGGCGACTGCGGTCCAAATCAAGGAGGATAGGAAAAAGAGCCTGGGCTGCGGAAAGAAGGATTTGAACAAGGGCGAACGCCTCTCGGAATGTCAGTCGGTCAAAAACGCATGCAGCCAGTTGTAGGCCAAAAGCCGGTGAAAACCAGCGCCGGCGGTCACTTCGGCGTCAATTCGCCGTGTGCTCCACATCAAAGCGCATTATCGTGGTTGGCCGGCGCGACCGATGACAAAGGTATCCGATGACCGCTTCCGCCCTTGCAGCAGCCGGCCTTTATGCCGGGCTCAACATGCTGATCATGTTCTGGCTCGCCAACGCGATCGGCGTGTTGCGCCGCGGTCACAAGATCGCGGTCGGCGATGGCGGCAACAAGCATCTGGCCAAGATCATGCGCGGGCAGGCGAACGCGGCCGAGAACATGCCCCTTTTCCTGATCATGCTGGTGATCGCCGCGGCGACCGGCATGTCGGGATGGCTCGTCCATCTGTTCGGCCTTGCCTTTACCGCCGGCCGCGCGCTGCATGCTTGGCATTTCATCCAGCCCAAGGCACCGCTCTGGCAACGGTTCGCCGGGTTTGGCATTGCCGGGCTTTCAACCTTCATCCTGGCCATCTGGATGATCGTTGCCGGTCTGCGCGCGGCATTTGGGGGCTGACACCGCAACCGGCCAGACGCCGTCAGGGGCGCCTGATGGCAAAGGCCATGTTCTCGCCATTGACAGCGATGTAGCCGTCGGCGGTCTTCTCGAAGATCACGCAGCGCCGCGGCATGTTGGCCATGTTCAGGCATACCTGTTCGCCGTCGGAAGTCCAGTTTCCGCGCATGTTCATCACACCACGGCGCATCTTGAGCGTGCCGTCGGGATTGAACGTCATTTCGCCGCGCCGGCCATTGAACATGGTCACCTGCCAAGGCTGGCCGTCGGCGATCTCGGTGACGCTTTCGGACGCAAATGTGGGTGAAACGCTCGCCCCACCGGCAAGGACGACGCAAGCGAGGACACAACTCGCGATGAAACGGGTGGACATGGCTCTCTCCGGCTGACCGCTTGACTGTGGCCAAGTATAGCCGGCCTCAGAGCCGATGTGGCGTTACGATTTCGCAATGTTGGCGCGAGCGAACCGTTCGAAGATGTCAGCCATTCAGGACACCCTTCATCGCCGGATAGAGTGCCAGATAGCGTTCATAGATCGGCCGGTACTTTTCGACATTGGCAGCGATCGGCTCGATCGTGCGGCCTGGCCGGACCATGGCGCCGATGCCCTCATCGATCGTTGAAAAATGGCCGGCGCCATGGGCGGCGAGCACAGCGGCTCCGGTCGAAGGCGCATCGGGCGACGAAGGCACGCGCACCGGCACGCCAGCCGTATCGGCATGGATCTGCAGCCAGAGGTCGGATGCGGTCGCGCCGCCGCCCACCGTCATCTGCGAACTCTCATATCCGGCGCGCGCGAACGCATCGAGAATGGCGCGTGTGCCGAAACCGATCCCTTCCATGATCGCGCGGAAGATGTGGTGCTTTTCATGGGCCAGCGTCAGCCCGACGATGGCGCCGCGTGAAAGGGGATCGGTGTATGGCGTGCGGTTGCCCTGAAAATGGTCCTGCACGATCAGGCCGTCGCAGCCGGGCTCGAGCGCGGCGGCCCTGGCGTTCAGATCGTCGAAATCGAGCCCGCCGGTCAGCCGGCCGAGCCAGTTGATGATCGACCCGGTGGATGTCTGCCCACCCTCGACAACGTAACGGTCCGGATAGACGATATCGGGATAGGCACCCCAAACGCCGGGCGCGTGGACCGGTGCATTGGTGATGCCGAATTGCAGGTGCGACGATCCGGTGATCAGCGCCAGTTGGCCGGGCTGCGCGACGCCCAGCCCGATCATGCCGATCAGCGCGTCGGCGCCGCCCTGGACGATCTTGACCGAACGCGGCAGGCCAAGCGCCTCGGCCGCAGCCGCCGTCAACGTGCCGATGACCGCGCCGGGCGGAACGACGCGCGACGGCCATTTGTCCAGAAGCGCCTCCAGGCCCAGAGCCCTGACAAGGCTCTCGGGCGCGCCGCCGCGGTCGGTCGAGTGATGCCAGCGCAGGCCGACATTGTTGAGGCTGGCCGCCCATTCTCCGGTCAGCTTGTAGGTCAGGAAATCCTGGTACTCGCAGATGCGGTGCGCGCGGTCGAATATCTCGGGCTCGTTGCGCTTGATCCACAGGGCCTTCGGGATCATCCACTCAGCCGAGACCGGCCCCTCACCGTTGCCGTTCAGCGCAAGCGCCGGATCGTCCGTGGCAAGCACCAGATCGGCTTCCTCGTTGGCGCGCACATCCATCCAGATCAGCGCCGGGCGCAGCGCATCGCCGTTCTCGTCGAGCGCAACGACGCTGCAACAGGTCGTCGCATAGGCGATCGCCTCGATCGCGTCTGCGGGAACGCCGGCCTCGGCAATCGCCCCGCGCGATGCACTGACGAAATTGGCCCACCAGTCCGCCGGGTCCTGTTCGGCGCGGGCGCCGGCCGAAAACTTCGTCTCGTAAGGGACTGCCACGCTGCTCAGGCATGCGCCGTCAAGGTCATAGATGCGCGCACGCAGGCTTTCCGTGCCCCCGTCTGCCGTCAGAAAGTATGCCACGTCTTTCTCCTCCCGCCGTCCGGCGGGCACGCCGTTTCCGGTCAGCCCTGCCGAAATGCCTCCAATGCCTTGCCGGCATACATCACAGCCGGCCCGCCGCCCATCTCGATCGCCACTTCGAGCGCCTCGATCAGGGCCGCCTCCTCGGCGCCGTGGCGCCGCGCGCCATCGACATGATAGAGGATGCAATCCTCGCAGCCTTCGACAACCGAGATCGCCGTTGCGATCAGTTCCTTGTGGGCGGCACTGAACTGGCCGGGCTTCGTTGCCGCCTTGGCGACGCGCGCAAAGCCGTCGAACGTGTCCGGCGCGGCCTTGGCAAGAGCGCCCATGCGCGCCTTGGCGCGGCGCAGGGCTTCGTTGTGATCGGTCATGGGCGGTCTCCTGCGGTGAGAATGTCGAGTGTTTCGCGCAGCGCCTCGGCATGGGGCATGTGGCCGGCACGCGGGAAGTGATGGACCGCGATGCGCGGCGAAAGGGCGGTTGCGTCCCGCCAGTCGAAAACGCGGTCGCGATGGCCGACGAGCACGCGCACCGGCATGCGGGCGGACAGGCGATCGAGGGCGCCGATAATGCTGACGGTCTGGCCCCTTGGTCCGATCATCTGACCGGCCAGTGTCCTGAGGCGACCGCGTTTTTGCACATCGAAGATGTCGGCGACCGCCGCATCGGACAGGGCAGCCGGCGCCTCGGAAAGCATGCGCAGCAGGTGCGCCACCTCGCCGGGGCTCGCCGGATCGGCCATGCCGTCGACGAAGTCGGCGTTGATCGACAGGCCTATGCCGGCCGGCGCAATCAGACTCAAAGACGAGACGGGAAACGTCTCGGCGAGTGCCATGGCGGGGATGACGCCGAGCGAGTGGGCGACAAGGTGAAACGGCTGGTCGCCGAACAGCGCGCGGACGAAATCGGGAAGCGGCGCGGCGAGCGCGTCGATGTCCGGCGCTTCGCGTTCTGTCGCACCGTGACCGGGCAGGTCGATGGCGACGACATGGCGGTCGGCCTTGGCAAGGCCGTTGATGAGCGAAGCGAACGTGGTGCGGTCGCCGGCAAAGCCATGGATAAGAAGGAACGGCGTGCCGGTCGCAGGGCCTTTTTCGATGTAGGCGATCCCGTTGGCAAACCGCAGATCGTCCGATCCGCCCTGCCCTGTGCGCGTAACGTCACGGGCCTCGATGCGGCCGCGCCGGCCCGAACCTGTGAGCGTGGCAAGATCGACACCTTGCCGGCGCGCCAGCCGGCGCGCGACCGGTGTCGCCCGTACGGGACCGGTGCCGTTGGCGGCGGACAGTGGCGGCACCGGCATTGCCGCGTCGGGTTTTTCGGGCCGTACGGACGTTTCGGCGCCTGTCGATGGCGCGGCTGCCACTTGTTGCGCATCGGCGGCATCATCGTTGCCCGTCCAGTCCGGACCGGCGCCGACATCGACCTTGGCAATCGGCGCGCCGACCTCGACCGTCTCGCCCACTTCCGCCAGCCTTTCGGTGAGCGTCCCCGCGCCGAGCGCCGGGAACTCGACCACCGTCTTGTCGGTCTCCACCTCGATCAGCGGATCGCCGCGCGCGAAACTGTCGCCCACATCGACCAGCCAGCCGACGATCTCGCCGCGTTCCATGGTCTCGCCAAGGCGCGGCATGGTGAGGACGGCGCCGCTCATACCAGCATCTTCCGTGCGGTTTCAGCAACGAGATCGGCCGACGGGACGGACGCCGCCTCAAGGGCGGTGGAAACGGAAATGGGCACATCCTCGCCGGCGACGCGAACGACCGGATCGTGCAGGAAATCGAAGCATTCCTCGGTGATGCGTGCCGACAGTTCGGCGGCAACGCCGGCGGTCAACGGGCCTTCGGAGACGACCATCGCCCGGCCGATCGGCTCGACGGCAGCCCTGATCGTTTCGAAGTCGAGCGGGTTGAGCGTGCGCAGATCGATCACCGTCGCCTCGATGCCCTGCCCGGCCAGCGCTTCGGCGGCCTGCATGACATAATGGACCTGACGCGAATAGGTGACGATGACGAGATCGGAACCGGTCCGCCGCACGACCGCCCTGCCCCAATCGGGCGGCGGCGCGTCGAGATCGACCTCATCGGACATTGCGTAAAGCGCCTTGTGTTCGATGAAGACGACCGGGTCGGGCTGGCGCAGCGCCTGCCGCAAAAGATGGTAGGCGTCATAGACAGTGCCCGGCATCACCAGCCGCAGCCCCGGCGTGTGCATCACGTATGCCTCAAGGCTCTGGCTGTGCTGGGCGCCGGCGGAGCGGCCGGTGCCGCCCTGGGTCCGCAACACCATCGGTACGCCGATCTGGCCGCCGAACATGTAGCGGATCTTGGCCGCCTGGTTGCAGAGCTGGTCCATCGTCATGCCGATGAAATCGACATACATGAGTTCGGCGACGGGGCGCATCCCGGCCATCGCCGCGCCGACCGCGGTGCCGACGATTGCCGGTTCGGAAATCGGCGTGTCGCGCAGCCGCTCGGGGCCGAACTCGTCGATCAGACCCTTGGTGACCCCGTAGGCGCCGCCATAGCGCCCGACTTCCTCGCCAATGACGAACACATCCTCGTCCTCGGTCATGGCGTCGTGCAGCGCCTTTCTGAGCGCGTCGCGGTAGGTCATTTGGGCCATGGCGTCAGTCCCTTGCGAGCACGCGGTCGATGCGGTCGGCCAGCGGTTCCGGCTCCGGCTCGCCGACGGCAAAAACATCGCGGAACATGGACGACAGAGGCGGCTCTTCCGACCGGTCGGCGAATTCGATGGTCGCGTCCATCTCGGCGGCGGCGGCCGCGTCGATGGCCTCCAGATCCGCTTCGTCATGGCCCGCCTCCAAAAGCGCCGCGCGGGCAAAGGCGATAGGGTCCTTCCTGCGGCCCTCCTCCTCCTCGCCGGGAGAGCGGTAGGGGCTCTTGTCCTTTCGGGCATGACCGAAGAAGCGATAGCAATCGATGGCGAGAAAGCCCGGCGTTCCACCGCGCGCCGCATCGACGATGCGCTGGGCGGCATCGCGGACGGCAACGACATCCAGCCCGTCGACCGTCTCGCCATTGAGGCCGAAGGCGACGGCGCGCTCGTGCAATGCGGTCGCCTTGGTGGCCTGGTCGATGCGCGTGCCCATGCCGTATTGGTTGTTGATGCACACGAAGACGGTCGGCAGATCCCACAGCGCGGCCATGTTCATGCTCTCATACAAAATCCCCTGCTGCATGGCGCCGTCGCCGAAAAAGGCGATCGAGACGGCCCCGGTCCTGCGCTGTTGGGCCACAAGCGCGGCACCAACAACGGCGGGGATACCGCCGCCGACGATCGCGTTGGCGCCCAGATGGCCCAGCCCCATGTCGGCAATATGCATCGAGCCGCCCTTGCCGTGGCAATAGCCGGTCTGCTTGCCGGCGATCTCGGCCAT